TATCTTTTGAGTAAAAAAGAAAGTTCATTAAAAGAAAATTCATGATTTGCTAGCCAGTGAATCAAGATTTTGAAACAAGTTAAAATTCGGTATTTGCTGAAGGAAAAGTAAGAATTTTGACACACAGCTCAGCAGCACAGAGGATAATCTAGAGAAATATTCAGAGTCAGAAGTTTTGGTATTTAATCCTCATGACTTACTATGACAGTGAGCCAGAGGGAAACACCTCCCAAAGTAAAGAAACTTTAGTAATCTGGCAAGAGGTGCATTGCTTAAACCTTCCACAGAAAGAACATGAAGAATGAGCTGAGGAATAATGGAAATAGAGCAGGATAAAAACTTCAAAGCAAAATCAGAGGTTCACAAAGTATGATTTCTGGGTGAAACCTTTTTTGTAAATAAAGTTTTATTGAGACACATTCACACCTATGTGTTCACATTGTCCTTTTTTTCTCAAATTTTATTGACTTGTCAGTCATTTACATTAAATAATTTGGGGAGCCCATCTTCTGCCCTCTGTGTCTGCCCATGCCTCACTCACCCCTTATGAAAGCTTTGCTGCCAGCCCTTACTACCTTCCTTCCCCAGCTCCTCTTCTATCCCTGACCCCAACCCCTCTGACAACTATTATTTCCTCACAGAGTTTATGACTTATTTTTGCTGTTCTTTGCCAGTTTGTTTCTTTAGTTATTTATGGCCCTCAAATGAGTGAAGACATCCAGTAATTGCCTTTCACTTTCTGGCTTATTTCACTTAGCAGAGTCAGCTTAAGTTCCGTCCATTGTGTCCCAAGAGACACGCTTCATCCTTTTTAATAGCTGAACAGTATTCCATCCTCTGCTCTAGTCATCTGTCCTGGGCACTTGGATTGGGTCCATGTCTTGGCTATTGTGAAGAATGCTGCTGTGAACATGGGGGTGCATACATCTTTTTGTTCTCTTTTTTTCATATTCTTTGGGTAGTTACAGTGGTATTGATAGATTGTGTGAAGTTTGCATTTTTATTTTTTGAGAAATTGCCCTATCATTTCACACAGAGGCTGCACCAACACGGATTTCATTTTTCTCCACAACCCCACAACCCCTCCACCACTTGTTGTTTCAGGTCCTTTTTTTTTAAAAAAAGATTTATTTATCCATTCAGAACTGGGGTACAGGCCAGAGATGTGGAGGATGAGAGGATTCACCAGAGACAGAGTGGGAGCAGAACAGGCAGATCGACGAAGTACACTGCCGAGGGGAGCAGCGGGCTGGTCAGGAGAGGTCTGCCGCGCCATGTGAATCACAACCCAGCAGGGAATCAAACTCACACTGAAGTGGCATCTACCTTAGTGCTGTGCCTTAAACTGCTGCGCCACTAGGGAGGGCCTGTTTCAGGTCCTTCTTACATCGCCGGGATGCGGTGATACTGCTTTCTGCATTTGAGGTGCATTTCCCTAAGAACAAGTGGTGGTGTACATTTTTCATGTGCCCTAGGCCAGCTGTATGTCTTCTGTGAAGAAGTGTCTATTTATGTCTTTTGCCCATTTTTTTGTTTGGAGGGTTTGTTTTTCGTTATTGTTGAGTGGTATGAGTTCTTTATATAGTTTGGAAGTTAATCCCCTGTCCGAGTGTGATATTCAAATAGCTTCTCCTAGTCCCTAGTTTGCCTTCATATTTTTATAGTGGTTTCTTTTGTGGTACAAAAGCTTCCAAGTTGGCTGTATTCCCATCTGTTCATTTTTGCTTCTGGTGTGCTTGCTGGGCATGCTGTCTATGAAGGCAGAGACTGTATGACCACAAAGCTTAAAATATTTATTATCTGGCCGCTTACAGGATAAGTTTGCCAACCACTGTTAAAGTCTGATGACAGCCTAAGGGAAGACAAGGGCATGTTTAAAAATGATAACTGGAGCAATAATGTTAAGGATCGTGCAAAGGGAAACATAAACTATATTGTGTACTTTACATCAAAGTACCACTTATATTGGACAACACTTAACTGATAACTAAAGTTGCTATTCTGTGGGTTTTAAACATTTCTGGTTCTCTTTAGAATTTTTATGATAAATGCTATTAGCGACGGCTTCTATGGCAATATAAATTTGAGCCCACCTAATATTCCTGAGACTAAAATGGATTCTCGATGATTTTGCAAAGCTATTCCACAAAGACAATTTTACTACAATATGCATTTGGGCAAGTGGGTAGTCAGCTTCGTTGTACTGGATCGCCCTGGCTCTAAAAGAATCAAGAATGAAAAATGTTTTCTCAGGTTATAGGGCACCAGATTCATAGCCACCCGCCACTTGCCTGGGTAAGTTACTGATAAACTCTGCAGAAAAATAACAAACAGTGTGTCCCTGCATCTTGGCTGTTGAAAATGAGATTCTTTCTCTGATGGATGTTAGCAGAGAGGCTTGTAAAAATGCATTTCCAGCTGATTAGTTCAGAAGGTGTCAATCTCATGCAGTTTTATGACCTGCAGACTACATGCCAGATGTACATTTGCTTTTTATAAACTAACAAAGATGAATGACTAAATTTGAGCATTCCTCTTTGGCAACAGTACCTTATATTGCCTAGAGGGAGATAGTGTGGGCGCACTGTGGGAGGAGGGGGGGAGGAGTGCGTAACCCTTAATTTACCAGATCAAGGGAGATAAACTGCCGTCTTCAGAAAGGGCTTTCTCTGTTGAGTGGTTAGAGAATGGGATGGGGGGAAGCTGTTGGGATAGCAGCTATTTGTGTTAAATTACAACCGTAAACATATGCACACACCTCTTCTACAGCCATGGAGTAAGCACACTTTCGTCCATCCTGAAACACATAGTTAAGTCAGAAAGTCTCAATATGTAATCAGGGACTGTTACCGAAAGGGTTATTGTGTGTTGAAGCTAGCAATGCCATCAGGCAATGGCCAACCGCCTACCATTTTAAGATCTGAGTCTTAATTACTGTTTCTAGTTCTTTGTGAGAAAGGAAGACTATCCAGTGAGTTGTGTTATTATAAGGTAGCCCCATGAAAAATAAGCCTACAGCATAGTTGTAGCTTTCTTCCACTGGAAATATTAAGACACCTTTAGACATTTTTCATCATCCTGGCCTTGTGGCTAAGAAAGTAGTATTTTAGTAAATTTATGTACAATATCAAAACTGAGTTTCTTTTGATTTTCGCAAACAGGATTTTAAATTTTTGTCAAGGAATGTGCAGTTTCAAATAATTGGCATGTCTTTTTTTCAAGAAACAGAAGACCTCTACATGAAAATGTAACCGTAACAAGGAAACCCTGTGTGAGAAGATTGCTATCAGAAATTCTAGCTCCTACATTTCTATGTGCCTAGAAATTGCAGCAACAAAAAATTAAAATATTAATGTAAAAAGAATTCAGTGCCATGAATCTAACTCATGTTTACTTTATTAAGCTTTTTGCTTTCATCTTCAAGGAAAATAGGAGATTTTTAGGTACTCTTTCTAGATAAGCTAAGTCTCCTTGAAAATAGCCAAAAAGTCAACCAAACCCCTAGAAATCTGACAGTGGAGCTGAGGCTCCTGGAAGGGGAGGAGGTGGGGGAGGGGCCCAGCAGCCTGTGGTGCAGAGTTGTGGGTGCTTGGTGCTGGTGGTGTGTTGTGGTAACACACATCTTCAGAGTGTGAACCTGACCCCCAAAATCATATACAGTGTTGCAAACCAACCTTAGCCAAAATCAATAATAATAATGCAATTTGAAAAAAACACAACTAAGGCTCTTTGAGTTTTAAGTGATGGAAAATCCAACCCAGAATGCTGTCCAGGCAGTGAGTGCAAGCTCGGGCAAAACCCCCAAAGATGTCACTATCTCCTGTCGTCTTGTTCTCGCCCGCTCTTGGCTCTGCTCTGGGAGGGCTTGTGTTCCCAGACAGGTTCTCCTGTAGGGACTGCAGTGGGGGATGCTGGCCCCAAGCTGGTGGGGACAGGGAGGAAGGGTCCCTTCCCAGGTTGACTAGTGAGGTCAAATGCACATTTCTGAACCGAATGGGAGGGAGAGGTGCACATGAGTTGGAGCTGGAGACCCAAACAGAAGCCAGAGCTGCTGTTCAAATAAAAGGAAATGACAAAATCCCAGGTGTCCACTGCCCTCTTCTTAGGTGGTCAGATGACTTAGGGCCCTGAGCCTGCCCCCTTGTCTCGTCCCTTTCCCGTGGAGATGTTGACCTAGTAGATCAAAATTCACTTATCTTCTGGTCAGCGAGCAGAGACCTTCAAGAGCATCATCCACCATTATCACCCAACACCCTTAGATTTGGTTGTGTTTCTAAGAATATACAGGGACACCGAGTGTGATGTTTTTCCTGGAAGAGGCCCTAGTAAATTCGTTCTGCCAAGTACTTCTTAATGTCACCAATGCCATAGGTCATTTTTCATGATAGGTCTCTTCGTCTCCAAGATGATGGCTTATGTATGTCCGCTGGCACATTTTTAATTAACATCCCAGGGACCCTGACAGCTCAGACTCCTGAGTACCTTCATTTATTTAAGTAAGCTTCCTGGGGAGGGCCGTCTCCTCGAAAGGTGCTTGACCAGCCTCATCTATTTTATGTTCGTACTTGCTTCATTTCATTGACTTGCATTTTCTGATGCTTTTCCGAGCTTTAGACATCATCCTTTGCAGGTGGCTAGCCGTTTGCCTGACCCACTGTGTTCAGTTTTGTCGAACATATAGAAGCTGACCTAAGTACACTTCAGCTGAATCCATATCCCTTCATACTACTAGTTGATTGTCCTAATCAATAACTTTTTATTGCCAGCTCATAATCTTGTCAGTCATCGCTACTACAAATATTTCCTGTCTAGGAAAGCAGCTGCACGTATCGTATTTATACTGCATCTGTTCCACAAAGTATGCCTCATAGAAATTACTCTGGCAGGGGAAACTGATTACTCGACTTGGGGGAAAAAAGAGAAATCACAAACAAAACTTATTTCTACATAGGATGTAAGGAGGGGAATTCTCTTACTGGTGTACATTTCTCTCTCTGCAGATGGACTTACTGACTGCATGGATCCCGATTGCTGTTTACAGAGCTCCTGCCAAAACCAGCCCTACTGTCGCGGATTGCCTGACCCCCAGGATATCATCAGCCAGAGCTTACAGTCACCATCTCAGCAAGCGGCCAAATCCTTCTACGAGCGAATCAGCTTTCTTATAGGACCAGATAGCACCCACGTGATACCTGGAGACAGTCCTTTCAACAAGAGGTTAATGCCTTTCTGCTTCTATTGTAGAGGTGTAGGGATCTTGTGTGAACTTGCATACACCTTAGAGGCAATGTAGGTTGATGAAAGAGCTTTTTTTTAAAAAAGTGCACTTTTCCTCTTTTGGCAAATTTTTCACCAAACTTCACCTTTCAAGCGTCAAGCGTTTTTGACACAGTTCAAAACTTGTCAAGTTTGTCAATTTCAGTCCCCAAGCATAACAGGCCATCCCATTAAGGAGTCAATGCATCTTCATTTAACTAGTTGAGTTTGTTAGCACAGTTGGAAATGTTTCAAGGGGGGAAAAAGCACTGAAAGGACCCCAAAAGGCAAAACAGAAGTGCACTTTTTTTTTTAGCTGAGCTCACTAAATAATACAATTTATATATTAATGTAATGGAGCTGCTTACGGCATGGCAGGGAGATTGCACGAGCTGTTTGCCTGATGCTTTAAAGAGCAGTAATGACCTGAAAAGAAACCAGTAAGTGAAAGCAGGTGTCTTGTGTCTCACTGAGCAAGAGAAGATGATTTATCCAGAACTCCTGGGTCTGCAGTAATTTAACAGTATAAACACAGTGAGGCCCAGCAGTTGATTAAAAGTTGTTGCACAAATGTTCCTCATCGCCCCTTTAAATCTTGTACTTCTTGGTCCCTGCAGATTTATGGATTGCCTCAGAATTAATTGGAAAGTATACTTTTCTTCATGTAAAGCCCAGATATATAATTTATGAAAAAAAACACAGTTTAGATAGTTTAAAAATGTCATCTCTAAGTTATTGGCCTTAATAACTCTCTGTTGAGCTAGCCATGAAGGAAAACTCGGGACCAACACCAGCACGAACTGCCCTGACAGTGAAGGGCTGTTCTCTTGGGAGTAGTTGCAGCCCAGGCTTTGCGAATAACCACTGATGACCTGTGACCGTGTTGTGTTATCCTGAGGTGAATTAACTCAAAAGCAGGGTAACGTTGGCTCCGGAAGACAAACGTTCCTCTTCACTCTTCTGCTTTCCCCACAGCCTTGCGTCGGTCATCAGAGGCCAGGTGCTCACGGCTGATGGGACACCCCTCATTGGTGTCAATGTCTCGTTTTTCCATTACCCGGAATATGGATACACCATCACCCGCCAGGATGGAATGTGAGTCCCCGCACACTGTCTGCTCTGTTTATTATGCATGTAAAAACTAGGCTCTCTGGTATCACTCAGTGTGTGTTATTGTCCTTATTAATAGAGAACTGCAACTCCTAAACCCCAAAACCAGTGATGGCAGAAGGGGTAGAGATTTAAGGTCCAGTCCTCGTCAAGTGCTTTACAGGTTAAGTGCATTTAAAAAAAAAAAAATATTTAGTTGTTTTCTTACATCTTTGCGAATGTTTGAACAGTATTTGATTTCTCCCTTCTAGGGATGGCCCCACAGTTCTCCCACCACGCCAACACCTGTGGTCTATCCTGACAGTCCTTTGTGCTTGTCCCTCCCCTGTTTTGACGCTTCTCCCTCCGTCTCTCCTGCTGCTTGCCTCAGATCTGTGGTCCACTTGCGAGTTTTGTCTTTTTCTTGACCTTTTTGTTTGCTTTCTCTATATTACACATAGGAATGAAACCACCCTTATTTCACTTTTTTCTTCTGACTTTTGCTTAGCAGAAGGCCTCCCTGTTCCATCCATGTTGCCACAAATGGCATGAGTTTATCTTTTTTTGATGGCTGAGTAGTATGCCATTGTTTATAAACTGCATTTTCTTGATTCATTCATGTGTTCTGGGGCACTCAGGTGTCTCCATATTTTGGCTGTCGTAAATAGTGTCGCAGTAAACGTAGGCATGCAGGTGATTCTGTGTTCTTTGTAGATTATAGAAGTGGCACCATTGGGTCATGTGGTAGACCCACTTTAGTATTTTGAGATACCCCCACTCAGCTTTGTATAGTGGCTGGGCCAGTTTGCATTCCCACCAGTAGTGTAAGAGGGTTCCCTTTTTACCTCATGCACACAAATACAAATTGACTTCATTTTCTAAGGCGTGGTTGCAGTGCCAAGGGTTTCTAGACTGTTCGTCATCTTAGTAGAGTGATTCATAATATCTGCAACGTAAGCTCCAGTAGTTGTGGGAAAGGAGTAAATAAGTAGAGAGATTGATAAATCACGTTTGGGAAAATATTACCAAAGGTGGCAAATCTAGGGGGGAAGTATATGGGTATTCTGGTATGATTCTCTGTAGAATTCCCAGAGATTTGAAACTATTTCATATTAGTATTAGAAGGAAAAGTTGATTTCCTCTTAAAGCATATTAATTTAAGAAGGTGGATGTCGGGAGAGCTGCAGGATCCAGATAACTTGTATGTCTTGTTCTCTTTCCTTAGGTTTGACTTGGTGGCAAATGGGGGAGCTTCTCTGACTCTGGTGTTTGAGCGATCCCCATTCCTCACTCAGTATCATACAGTGTGGATTCCCTGGAATGTGTTTTATGTGATGGACACCCTAGTCATGAAGAAAGAAGAGAATGACATTCCCAGCTGTGACCTGAGTGGCTTTGTGAGGCCGAATCCTATCATTGTGTCATCACCTTTATCTACCTTTTTTAGATCTTCACCTGAAGACAGTCCCATTATTCCTGAAACACAGGTAAGAACAGTCTCACAGATGGTGCTTTTAGAGAAAGTATTTTCAGATCATGTGGCTTCCAGAGAATCTCAGAGAAGGATAGTAGACTTCCTACACTGTCCTAATAATTCCAGAGTCAAAACTAGAATATGGTTCTTAGAGCTAGGACATTAGTACAACCATCGTGAACTTCATGCATAAGTAGCTAGTAAAAATATGTGGCCAGATATGACAGCACGTGGCAGTTCTGTCACCTTCGTGCCTCTGTTTTACACAGTCACAGTGATGAGAAACAGCCACGAACCAGTGGAAACAAAAAATGTGTAAAGATGTGTCCCTTGTGAATAAGACTATAATAACACAGGGTAGAGTGGATGAAGGTGCAGTTGCATTAAGTGCGTGCCAGGGAGATCTCTTTGGTCAGGTAACATTTCGACAGAAACGTTAGGGAAGTGAAAGAACAAACCCCTGGCACTAGAGGATATAGGCAGCACCGAGCTCCGGCTCAAAATGGCGGCGGGGTGAGCATGCTTGGCTTGTTCAAGAAATAGCAAAGAAGCCAGGTGGCTTGGATGGAGTGACCCAGTGGTCATGAGTCACAGTCATGGAAGACCAGACAAGGGGCCAGGCTGTGGACGGCCCTGAAACGACACTGGACACTGGATTCTCTGGGCAACGTGGAGGCAGGGGGCTAGTGAAGGCTTGGTCATTTTTCTAAAGCTAACTCAAGGCAAAATGCATATTTAGGGAAGGGTGACAAAACTGAGTGAACAGGGGTGGAGAAGAGAGTCAGGAAGGTAGGTGGACAGGACGTGGCTTCTGACTGAATGCTTAGGGGAGACCAGAAATGTGTCCCAGATCAGGCAGCTGGCAGAAATAGGCTTGAGTTCATTTTCCCACCCTGGCTGGATTTTACTTTTCCCACAAATGCCCAATAACACGGTCAGGTTAAACTAGATAGAGAAATGCAGGTTTTAATTAACTGAGTGACAGGTATTGACTCCACGGAAGTAGGTTAGTGATGGTAAGAGCCTGTTATCAGTTATTGAAAGTAGGAATAACCCATGATATTTTGAAATAAAGACTGTGAGAAGGTCCCAGGGAACATATATTAATGCAAGACCACCTTATGTAGGGAAAACCTACCAGCTTTCTGAAAAAAAATTTTAAATAAGAAATAAATGATCTGCTTTAGGGTTCAATCACAGTTTCTGGGCCAAGCAAGAACTGCAGAATCTAGTTTTTAAAATAATCCATTGATATTGCACCCCAATGATGGGGAACAGCGAATGCTTCTGACTAGCCCCATACCCTGAAGCCCTAAAAGTGCTATCAACCTTAAATTGAATGGTTTCCCCCATCTGACAGAGCTGTAAAGTTGCTATATGTTCATATATCTTGAACAGAAGATATGTTTGAGCAAAACAGACGTGTGAGCAAAATTCTTTGGCTTAAGACAGTCTGTGACTGAATTCGACAGTGGGTTTTGTGAGGAAGCTCCTGCAGGATGGTACTAAATTGGTGCTCTCTCGCATAGCAAGGCCACCTTCATCTATCCTGTCCCTCAGGTGTCAGCACTGACCACAGCTGGCCAACGCAGAGGGTAGTTTCGCCTGTTGGTTGTGCTTCTTCCAGCTGCCTGATGGTTCATATTGAAACTGACAGCTACTCCCTCGGTATCAAGGGTTCTACTTAAAATATTAAAATTCATAGATGACAGATATACATCATTCCTAACTGTTGTCTATGACAGGGGTTGGCAGGAGGGGACATGCTACTGAAAATGAATAATTATGCTAAGATTTTTCTAGCACGAGCAGGCAGTTCTTTAGCCTGAGTAATGAATCTCAATAAGACAACCTAGGAAGCCATGGGGAAGGCTGTTTAATTCTTAGTGGATGAAGTGGTCACTGCCTGGCCCAGGTCTGTATGGGCTGCAAAAGCACTTCGTTATTCAAATTATTTGGAAAGATTTGCTCGACTCTGTTGACGTTTATACTTCAAAATAATTCAAGAATGTTTTGCCACAATGTGTTTTGTCATGTTGGTATGAATTTATTGGCATTCACCGAGCTGTTCTCTTAGATGTGTACATTTGTAGGGTTAACAATATGGTTTTTTACGGTAATTGATGTTTCCAGTCCAGGTTCAGTTCAAAAACATATATTTGAATGTCTTCTGCATGTGCTTTTAACAACACACTAACTCTCAGGCCGAGGCGGGCCAGAGGGGATCGATAGAATTTTAAAACATTAGCTCATTTACCATCTTATCAAAAGTGGGCATTGAGTCCTAGCTCTGTTTCTGTACCTATGAGAATGTGCTTTTACAGAGCCAGAATTTGCTACAATTTAATCCAAATGTGTTGGGCTTTCTTGTCCCTGCTTGTGAAGGCTGTAGCCAATGAGCTGATGAGGCCTGGGCTCAGGTTTAATCCCTAAATGAGCCAGCTGGCTTGGGCCAGATCTTTGGCCTCATGCAGCCCTGTTCTCAGCTAACCATCTTACAAACGCCTGCTCCAATTCTCCAGGGCGACTGGGGTGAAAGATGGGTTAGTGAGAATCCACTGTGAGTCTAAACTAACAAGTCAGTGCGTGTCAGCCCGACCAAGGTCACAGCGCTCTCTGTGAGCGTTCCTGAGCCGGGGACCTGGGAGGGAAACAGCAGGAGGCTTTCAGAGGCAAGAACACAGAAAGGGCCAGCAGCAGAATTTATTTTTTATTCTTTTAATTTTTTGCATAGAACTGGAGTAAGGGGGTGAGAGGATTCACCAGAGAGAGTGGGGAGTAGAACAGGCAGATCTACCAAAATCCACTGCTGAAGGGAGCAGTGGGGAGACAGGAGAGGTCTGCTGGTCCCTGTGGGCCACTCCCTGGCCGGGGATCAAATTCAGGCCGCCCTGGTGCCAGCACCGAGACTCAGCCCCTAGACCCCCAGAGAGGCCCATTTTATGTTTAACTACTGGTTAAGATGGCAGGTGCCTGTGCGTCAGTGACCCGTGACTTCGACCAATGTGAGTTGCCCCACTAGGGTCTCTGACGTTTATTTTATTTCAGATGTGCGTGACCACGGTTTGAAGCGTCTGCTTTGTTCACACCTAGGTGCTCCACGAAGAAACCACGATCCCAGGAACAGATTTGAAGCTTTCCTACCTGAGCTCCAGGGCCGCGGGCTATAAGTCCGTCCTCAAGATCACCATGACCCAGGCGGTGATACCGTTTAACCTCATGAAGGTTCATCTCATGGTGGCTGTGGTGGGAAGACTCTTCCAGAAGTGGTTTCCTGCCTCCCCGAACCTGGCCTACACTTTCATATGGGATAAAACAGACGCATACAACCAGAAGGTGTATGGTCTATCTGAAGCTGTTGGTAAGCTCAATGCAAATGCATTAAAATTACAACATAAACTTCATTGTAATCCTTGGAGACCAGTGGATGGCAGAGAGGAAGTCAGTGAGTCTGTCCTAGGGAAGTTACAAGTTCAGATGTCCCGGGGAGGAAAGGAATGTATTCTATGTGATAAGAAAGAGAAAACAGCCACTTCCCTGGCTGAAATTACATCTTACAAGAATGTTCTGAGATTTCACGTTGTCAGTCCTTTTTTTCATGTTTCTTTTTCTTTGTTGTAACCCTTTTACATTTCCTTCCATCCTTTTTTTTCTTTCTTTATCCTTTCTTCCTTATCCTGATGTTGCGGTTTGTTTTCACTAAGAATTAATGTAGTTCCAATTCATTATGATACTTGAACAGAGATCTGAGAGCGTTTCTGTCCAAAAATTATGTCAGTCCTTTTGACTAGAAGGACCTGTCAGTTCAGTAGAAGGATATTCTTAAAACGCCAGTCAAGCCAGCTATTTCACTGAAAGGCTGGACACTGCAATCAGGGTCTGACATGTCGAGATATCTGTGGTGTGGCTGGTGCATGGCTCCGAACATCAAAAGCTAAAGAATAACGTGATTTCTTTTCTATTATTTTTTAATCTGAAACTCTAAAAGCCATTTTTTTGCGAGTCTAATATATAATTTGGATGTGAATTAATTCAAATCAATCTGATAATTACTACTTCTCCCTTCACTTTGTTCTAAATTTTAAAATTCACGTTTCACTGTCATCTATGAAGTTTTTCTTTTGTGATCTTTCACATTCATTTACTGCTACTTCTATTCTTTATTCCTGATAATAACGTGAATATAATGTCATAATCTGACTATCTTTTTTGCTTATTGAATCTTGCTTGTCATAAATATTTTCCACAACTCGACATACTTAGAAACTAAATAGCTCTAATTATTCAGCCGGCAAACATGAGTTTCAGTTGTTATCAGCTCGTTACCATTTGAGGCTGATTGATCCCGTCAACATTACTTGTCCGTTTGCTCACTCGGAGCTCTCCTGGGCTGTGACTCGCCGTGAGTACTCTGGGGGAAAAGCCCTAGTTTTCTACTAAAGAGGTAGAAAATAAGAATCGGACATTGTTTTATAGGGGGGGGGATTTCTTTCATGGGATCCAATCCTCTTACATTAAAAAAAAAATCAAAAGTAAGTGGCTGTACATCCTCAGAACCCTGTTGTGAAAAAATCAGTTTCATCAAAGTACTAGAATCAGCTGCGTTTCTGCCTGTCATTGAGAAGGTGATCTGGGATTTGTTTTCATTCCAGTGTCGGTCGGATACGAGTATGAGTCGTGTTTGGACCTGACCCTGTGGGAAAAGAGGACCGCCATTCTGCAAGGCTATGAGCTGGACGCATCCAACATGGGCGGCTGGACTCTAGATAAGCACCACGTCCTGGATGTTCAGAACGGTAAGGTCTTGTTCACAGCGCAGTGTTTACTCAGACCGAAAAGATCACAGCCACCCCTTATCCTCTGTGTGCTGCAGGATGGGCGTTAGTAGGAAGACTCATGTGGGTGGATGTTTTAAAGACTGTGAAGACCTGACGTAGAAACTGCTAGCTCAGACGGTTGCTCTGTGGACATCTTCACCATAGGCTCACCAGGATGGATGGAAAACGGTTTTTGAGAGAGAAACTCTCCAGGGGTCTCTACCAACTAGATCCAATAGAGCTCACACCCTTGTCAGTTCTCACTGCATATTTAGCTTTGTTTTTTCAGTTCTTCTTAGATTCTATTGAAAAGTGAATTATCCTCCCATACAAATTGGGTTATATATACTATTCTTTGACTCTGAGAGTATTTGGAGAAAATTAATGAATTATCTAATTCAGAGCAAGAATCAAGAGTAGTTGCCTTTATCCTCTAAGCAAATATGCTCTGTAAAAGCATAGTTCAAATAGGAAAAGACAGATTTCAAATAAGTCAAAACCAAAAGACCTACCTACTTGGCAAAACGTAACCTGCTTAAACACATAGAGAATATTATACTTTTCATATTAAACACATTCCATTCTCTTTTACTGAATTTTAAACATCTTACCCACAGGCTCCCTGGTCATTTAAAGATTTTCTACCAGAAAAGCAGAACCCTGAGGGAGCTTACTTGAGCCCCTGTACCCTAAAGATGTCTCGCTAGAACCTCCACTCGCCTTTCCAAATAGTCAGTGAAGGAGATTTCCCCACTTGGTAGAGTTTTGTGGGCCGTGCAGACCCCTGACTGACTGCAGTGTGGACCAGAGGTTCAGCTATCGTCGGTCAGTTGTTCAGATTAATGTCACTTTGATGTCCATATTTGTCTAAAAAAACAATTTTTTTTTTTAAAGATTTATTTATTTGTGCATACAGAACTGGGGTACAGGCCAGAGGCTCAGGGGCGGTGAGAAGCTTCACCAGAGATAGAGTGGGGAGCAGAACAGGCAGATCTACGAAGTACACTGCTGAGGGAAGCAGCGGGCGGGTCAGGAGAGGTCTGGCTCGCCATGTGGTCTCCTCCGGGCAAGGCGGCAGGCGGGAATCGAACTCATGCGGAAGTGGCTTCAGATTCTCAGTGCTGTGCTTTAACCCGCTGCGCCACCAGGGAGGGCCATAAAAAAACAATTTTATGGGAGTTGGAGAGAAACATTTAAACTTCCTGAGATACCAAAAAAAGATAGTTTCCAGGTCAGTGCTTAAAAATGCGGGCGCCTATCTTCTAGAAGAGAAGAATTCTTTGAGAAATTCTTAACTGAGCAAAATCAATCAGAAAAAAAAACCCGGAAATTCTTCATGCCTTTCCTTGGTTGTAACAGCGCCCAGCTCACTTCCCAGCCCAGCCCCGCCCTGGGCATCAGATGCCCCAGTTCAGTCTGCACCCCAGGAGGCTGGGAGCAGAACCAGGGCTCTGCCCCAAGAGGCACATGGAAGGGGGAAGGGGAAAGGGGGCCTGCCCCCCAAGAGTGCGCTCATGTGAACCCCCAATCCTCAGTGAGGCTCCACCTGCTTAATGGCCATGACCTTCAGTGACTTTTCAATGGCAGGACGGGACAGTATGCTGGTGGCATCCTTAATTAAATTTATCTCCTTTTTTTTTTTTTTTTTTTTTTGGCATTGAAAGGGATTTATATATATATTGCCTTGTTTTTTTCCCAAGTATAAATGAAGAATTTGGTGATGTGAAATTGACTCCAAAATGAAAACAAAAACATGAACCCACAAACA